GCTCAGAGCCTGGAGCCTGTTTCAGAGTCTATGTCTCCCTCTCTCTCTCACCCTCCCCTGCTCATGCTGTCTCTCTCTCTCTCTCTCTCCTAGAAATAAATAAAAATATTAAAAAAAAATAATAAATTACCAACAATCAGCACAAAAGTGACAAAATACTTGAAAACACACAACATCTAAAATCACCTTTAAGTAGACAGTGGGTTAAAGGTAACAGAATATTATACAGCTGTAGTAATTACTGTAATTGAGGTTAAGTATTGACATGGTAGAAATTAATACATTGATGAAAGAAAAAATATCTACATTAACATATATGGTCTAGTAGATAACTACAAAAGCAGAAACAATAAAACAATCTTGTGGTACATATATGATATGCATAACACTTCTCTCCACATGGAGGAAACTGCACAAGTTGCCTACAATCTTGTCAAAGTTGCTTTCTTCAGTCAATGAATAGTGGGGCGGGGAGGGAATAGGTGATGATGATTACTCTTTCTTAATATATTTTGTTTCATTCGTTATGGTGATTGCATGTTGTTTTAGTTTTGTAATTTTACACGAATTTAATAAAATAAAACAAACTAAAGGCCCAGAAGATAGAAACATTTGCAGAAAAGATTACTTTCAATGAAAAGACTTTAAGAACACAGAGTATGGCAGGTAAATAAAAATATTCAGGAATGATGTAGAAACAGTGAAAAATAAGTAAAATTTCTTGATTTCAAAGTAATCCAATATATCTAATGATAATAAACTAGGTCTGATTCTAGACAGCACTGCCTACAAGGAAAGTGAATCATATGAATATACCAAGTGATTTTTATGTAACTGAAAATATCTAAAATTTTGTAAAGTAATTTTTATATGCTTCCTTGTTAAAATGTTAAAATTTATTTAATATTAAAAATAGCTAGTAAAGAAGAGACAAATTCAGTTAATCATTAGAGAATCCTTCAAATATCTGGAGGACTTTTTGTTTGCAAGTTGAAGTCTAAGTGCTGTTATTTGTCAAACAGTAAACTTCAGGCCAATCAGTAACAAAACTTTCATTTTGTCTTTGAGTTATTTTAGTGTTAAAATTTCTCTTCCATTTAAGAGAAAACTCTCGCTTTAGAGATGTGAAGTTTTCAAGCTGAAGTCTGATGAACATTTATTGGAAGTGTTGTATAAAATATTTAAACAACAAAGAAGTATCCAATAAAATAAATTTTCATAATCCTTCCAAATCTAAGCTGATAAATTTCCTTGGTTTTAAGGATTAATTAGGGATTGGGGCAATGTTTTCAGAAAACCTCAAAAAAAAAAAAAAAAAGCCCACAACTATATGGGAATGGAATTAATACCCTAAAAATTAATTGGAAGGAAAAGAAAATACAGCAAAGTATATTGTGTGTGTGTGTGTGTGTGTTGTGTGTTCACATTTCACCATATGGGGAAAGATTTGAGTTTTATTAATACAAATGGTAAAGTTGAAAGAGAAGTTACATATAGAAGAGAAAGGAGACTTAAATTTCCTTTGGTGTTTTTATTCTGCTAAAAACTGAGCATCTCATAAAATTTCGACTTGACTGACAGTTTCAGCTTTCACTATGGTGAAGGGAAACTTACTCTAGACTTCTCTGTATCAACAAGGAAGAACTAGATGATGAATCGGAAATAAGGAAAGTTATATAAAAAGATACATTTTAAAAGGCTCATTTTAAATTCACAATAAGAAAGTTGAACAACTTACCTAGTCTAAAGGAAAATGTATTTCAAAAAATAATATTTAGTGATATGGCTATGATAACATATCTAGAAATTCTAAAAGTCAACTCTTAAAGTTTGAATCTCATTTAGAAATTCTAAAGAAAAGACAATTGACAGCATTTCAAAGCAAAGTAACAAGAAATATAATAATTTTGATTTTATGCTCAGAATTACTTTCTAAAATCTAATGAATCTACAAATGTTCTGAAATTATTTTCTTTGTTAATTTAATTAAACTTTTGAAGAAATAGGCTCGAATAGGAGCTAGAGTTATAAGAAATGGCATAACATAGTCCCTGCCAACAAGTGTATCACATCGATACTGATCGATTGAGATCGATACTGATTAAAATGTATCAAAAGTTAAAATGCAGTATCAAAACAATGTAAATAAAATAATGTATGAGTTATAACAAAAAACACAGGCTTTGGATTGGCTTCACAGGGTTTGCAGATTCTCATTAGGAAAGGTGAAAGGCATTTCCTGCAGAGGGAGAAATATGGATAGTATAGTATTTCAGGAAAGTGTAAACAGTTTAATCAGATTGGACCAAAGTCTGTGATACAAGGACATGTTACATAATATGTTTAGTCTGATCATAGAAAATCTTGTATACCTTAATAAGGAATCAGCATACTTTATCCTTAAGCTTTGGAGATAGTACTCTGGATCTGTAAACAATGTAGAGGAAAGTCTACAGATACAAACAGCAATTAACAAAGTCAGTCTTTAAAAAAGTGACAGTCCTGGCTATGGAGAAGGGATATATGAAAACTACTTTGGATAGATGTGTATTATAGGCCTTCAAAAGTTACTGGTATCATCAGCTTATTTAGGGGCATCATTTCTTTTTTAAAAAAATTTAATTTATTTTTGAGAAAGAGAGAGCGAGACAGAGATTGAATAGGGAAGGAGCGGAGAGAGAGGGAGACACAGAATCAGAAGCAGGCTCCAGGCTCCAAACTGGCAGCACAGTGGGGCTTGAAATCTTAAACTGTAGGATCATGACCTGAGCAGAAAATGAAAGTTCGACCAACTGAGCCCCTCAGACATCCCAGGGCATCACTTTTTTTCTCCAAAAATGAAATATGGATGTACTTGTTTATAAAATAGATTAATTTCCATTATTTAGTTATCAAAAAATAAACCAATTCCTACCCTGAGAAAATGATACAAAATGGAATAATATGTATTTCTTCTTTGTAGATGGAAAATAGGACTACTGAAAAAAATAATATCCATGATCATGTGAAATAAAACCTCTTATATCCAGTTTTCATTTACGACTGATTTTTAATTTGCCATTGAATGAAACTGTATAATGATATAAATTTTATTCCATGTATCTCACCAAGATATTCTAGTATTTAGGAGAAAATGTGAAAATCAAATTGAAAAAAATATGACTTGAGATATTTGTACCTATTTTCTTCCTTCAATTGATATTTTAAGCCATACTAATATTTGGTGATGGAATATTCTGGTGAGAAGAATCAACAAATGCAACAACCCTGAGACAAATAATGCCTGGTGAGTTTGAAGAGTAAGAAAGACAGAGTGTGGCTGAAGCACAGTGAGCAAGGAGGTTGGTAGTAGATTAAATCAAACAGATATTGGGGGACTGGATCTTACAAGACCTACAGGCAATTGTAAGGATTATGCCTTTTCTTTTGAGTAAAACATGAAGTCTCTGTAAGATTATGATGATTGACATGATCAGATTTACATGAACTGAGAATAAATTGTTGAGAGCAAGGTTACAGGTTGGAAGGTCTCAGCAATTACTCAGTTGAGAGATGTATTATTGTATTTGGCTAGGAGCAGTGGAAGTGCTAGAAAAAATTACATTTCTTAAACTGATGTTTTGAAAAGAAGTATTTTCTTTGGTGAAAACAAACATGGAATTATTTGAATACCCCTCCCCTTAATTGACCTATAATGGTGCCCAGATAAAATACTTTCATAGTTCTGTTATTTAACTATGGAGTAGATATGATTTGGACTTTCCATAGGTTCATGGAAAATGAGTTGCTATTGGGCACCTCATAAACATCATGGGCTAACTGCATACCAGAGAACATCTTTGCTGGAAAGATGTGTCCTGTGATAGCTCCACCTTATGAGCATGGCCGAGTCCTTTTATATGGTTAAAGTATAACTATAAGCATTAAAAATTGGGTTTGCTCCATCTCTACAAGGTTGTTAATCAGAAGTGGAAAATTACTTGCCATAGGTCTGTTTACTTCTAAGTGTCTGCTCATTACACATGTCTGGCCTAAATATTATAAGCTTAATTATTTTATCTTAAGGATAATTGAGTTTAATAGCAATGAAACATGTCACCAGGTGAACAATATTAAAGATACTTGCAATTCACAAACAAGTTTGAAATTTACTCCCTATTCTTAATTTTACAAATTGTGATAATCAAGGTGAGGACTTTTTAGAGGTGCCTGGGTGACTCAGTCACTTAAATGTCTGACTCTTGATTTTGGCTCAGGACATGATCTCAGGGTTATGAGATTGAGCTCCACATCAGGCTCTCTGCCTAGCTTAAGATTTCTCCCTCTCCTTCTCTCTGTCCCCCACTTCCACTCATGTGTGCTCTCTCTCTAAAAATAAGAAAAGGAAAGAAAGAAAAGCCACATGTGGGATTCACTTGACTATGCTTAATTAGAGTTTAACGTTAATTTATCTTTCTTCTTAATATCATAGACTCAAGATTATTTTGTAGATTCATTTTATTTCATATGGCAGTATTAGTCCTAATCTCACTCATGCTATTATTGCTTTGCCAAACTTTTGGGTATATATCCTATTCATTTTCTGGTATCACTCATCTCAGCTCTAACCTACAGAAATCCTTTAAAGGAAGCTTATGTTCCAACGTTATGGTCAAAGTCCATTTTGTTTTATGGTTGCTTTCTAAGAAGGCTGGACACGAGTACTATATTTCTATCAGACTACATCATTACTATTAGTATATATGGCAAAATACAGTGAAACTTATTTCAGGATTCATGCATGTATGGTCAATTCAGCATTCTTTTTTTTATTTATGTTTATTCATTTTTTGAGAGAAAGAGAGAGAGACAGAGTGCCAACATGAGAGGGGTGGAGAGAGAGGGAGACACAGAATGTTAAGCAGACTCTAGGCTCTGAGCTGTCAGCACAGAGCCCCATGTGGGGCTCAAACCACAAATGATGAGATCATGACCTGAGCCAAAGTCGGATGCTTACTGGTTGAGCCACCCAGGTGCCCCTAGATCGAGTATTCTTAAACAATTTTTTTTCACTATAATATCAGACATTCTCAATTCATATTCACTTTTTTTTTTAACATTTATTTATTATTGAGAGAGAGAGAAAGAAGGAGAGAAAGAAAGAGAGAGAGCTTGAACAGGGGAGGGGCAGAGAGAGAAGGAGACACAGAATATGAAGCAGGCTCCAGGCTCTGAACAAGCTGTCACCACAGAGCCTGACGCAGGGCTCAAACTCACAAACCATGAGATCATAACCTGAGCTGAAGTCAGATGCTCAACTGACCAAGCCATCCAGGCACCCCTCACATACACTCTTTTATCAGAGTTCTCAGTGATTTCCTACTGATGCTGAAATTTCCACAATGTGACCAGTAGGGAGGCTCCTTCAGTTGATCTAAATAGTCTTCAGACTTGACATAGTATTTCTTTTTTTTTTTTAATGTAGGATTTTTTTTCTTTTTCTTTTTCTTTTTTTTACAAATAGTTTATTGTCAAGTTGGTTTCCATATAACACCCAGTGCTCATCCCCACAAGTGCCCTCCTCCATGCCCATCTCCTCTCTCTCCCCCACATCCATAAGTCCTCAGTTTGTTTCTCAGTATTCATGAGTCTC